AAACTGGCTTTGTTAGGAAGACCAGGGGTGAGCGAGACTGAACATTATGCACGTTGTCGGTTTTGTAGATCGTAGAAACTCCGGCTCTGAAAAAGGGTAAAAAGGTGTGAATTGACCACTTGGAAATCAAAGCCCACCGGATAAAGATATCGGTTTTCCCTACACTGCTACATAGCCATATTCCTTGAACTATTAGTAGCTCCACCGCTGCCACTGCTGGCGCCATTGTTACTATTTCCGAAAGAAAGACAGCACGTAAGTCGTACCGAAATATAAATGTCAACATTTCATAGGCCTGGAAAGACTCGCGAGTAGGCTAACGTAGAAGACATTGGATTGCACACAAATTGATGTGTGTTTTTTGGCCATTTTTATACATCTGTTAGGAGGCTGTACTTAGCACTAAAGCCCAAGTACTTTTTGAAGTGGTAAAGTTGCAGTGAGGCCTTCCTAATCGTCCCGCTCCGTACATAGAGTGATCTGCTTACCACAATGCATATCATGGAGATGTATAAACAGAAACTACATACAATTGATTAACCGTTAGAAATAGCACAGTTTCATCATGACCAGAAACGGAAAATAGAACGGTACCCGTCGCTAGACAAGAGGTCCATAGACTAAAATAACATTCGTTCGGTCAATATTTGATTGAACTTTAGTAGGGGGGGGGGGGGGGCATTATTACATTAGCTAATGTTTTATATGTATATGATCAGACTACAGATAAAGTTCAACAAAACAGAAGATATTTTAACTTAAGTTTTATAGTTTTTCTCAAAATCTAGCTCCTCAAAAATTGAAAACTATAAACGAACACTTTATTAGGTAAGGGGCTCTTATAGTCGAAATGAGATATCTTCTTCGTTATACCTGCACTTGCATATAGCTAAACGGTGTGCTTTTTGGGCGAGTCTGCACATTCAATCGCTAGTCTTTTTGTACTAAAATGAATCCCTACCTCGCCACAAATTACAAACATTAAATGGCAATATTGACGCCGCAATGTTTCACTCCTAGCAGAAAAGATCGTAGATGAAGTTGAATCAATTAGCGCCATTGTAGCAATTTCTATTGTCGTGGTATTCGTACGAGCTATATAATACCGATAATATCTCTATAGTAGAAGAAATAATAAATATAGAAGCTAAGATCTGTCGAAGTATATCGAGTTGTCTATTCTGAAGCGACAATATCTGGAGGCAAACTTTCACTGATAGAGTGAACGACCTCTAATGACGAAGCGTTTTGAAACACACTGTGCCGTGCAGCCTTTTAACAGACAAGGCCAAGAGAATGTGCTACTGTATGCCGCACGTCGGCCCCCGGTGTGCGAGAACTTCTGGCAGCTAAGGTTCTGCGGATCCATGAGGCATGAGAGCCATTGAGACACTTTTCGACAGAGAAAGGCTATAGTCAGACCTTGCCTCTTTTTCCTTATTTTTTTTTCGTTACTTCAAGGCAGGCCTTTTCCATGGCACTGTCGAATGGCTACGAAAACGTTTAGCGTCTATGAAAGAGGCGTCAGTCGTCGCAGCAGCGAACGTCGCTGAGTTTCTTACTGCTCACTCAAAATACTCACCCTCGTTGCTTTTCATCTGCTTTTGCCCACTCTCGCTATATATAAACGTGCTATAACCGTACTGATAGAAGCGGGTGATGTACGTTAGCCGCAGCGGCCTAGATGAACGAAAAGAATGATCAGCTCCCACCGAAAACTCATATCGCCTGACCTTGAGCTTCGTAGAGGAATGTTATATTTCGATCAATATTCAAACCTCTGAATTAATAGGAAAAAGTAGGATTTCATATTAAATAAAGCAACTGAAATGGTTTTTTGTCAGAAGTAAACGTACATTAGAATGCTGCAGATAAAGGGGTGGCAGACATCGTCCAATACGGAATACTTAGTACTTGTAATGTCTGCTCCAACTAAAAACATTGGTTAAATATTACCCTTCTTCCAATCGTGGGTCTGATTTAGTTGCCTGGATCGGTTTAGCCAAAAGTTTACTTCGTTCAATAACGGATTTCTCTCGTATCATGGGTATATATCATCATGGGGCTCAGATAGCAATACCTAAAAACTATTTCAAAAGTACGAGTCAACTGAATGAATCTGGCCGCCTTCAGTAGTACTCATTGCCAAAAGCTAACAATCTATGAAAATTACTCGGATTTGGATAGTTACGCTACATAAAATAGGCTCACCGAATATCAAATGTTTCGTTTTTTAGCAGATTAAATTGAAAAGTATGTATTTTTTAATTTTTCATTCTCTGATACGCTGGCAGAGAAACACAGCAGGAATTAGAAATAACAACACAAATGACAAAATAATCGTGGAACACCGTATTTATACGAAACCCAAAATGCCCCAGTAAAATACTGACTACTATTCAGCTCTTGTTCATTTTGTCGTGACGCTCAGGTTAAGAGACTTTCCAGTTCTCAGGTTGATGCAATGGAAGGTATACACTCCGCTCCTGTGTATGCTGCATAAAGGACACCTTCGAACTGCATTCCACCTCTGTCACTCGTCCAACTACTCCGACTTGGCAGAGAGCGACACACAAATGCACACTTATTATCAAGGTGGTCATTTTTTTCTACATTCGCCAAGTATCGTGCGTGTGACCTGTGTACATCTCAGAAATTCTGTGAATGCCCCTATCTTTCCACTCATCGTTATTGCGGCATATACGCGCTGCCGGGAGTTGCAGGAGCTTATGAAAAATTTGACGGGCAAATTATCGGCACTTCTGCCGCGGTGTACACGAGTTGCATTACATGTGATATTTTCAACAAGCAGGGATCCCTTCCCCCAAGTCCATTATTCGCGCGCTTAGTTATAAGCTTTAGGCTTAGTTATAAGCTTTAGGCTTCGCAGTACTAAACCCAGCAGAAGTGATGATCGCAACAGCAGTCATTGTATCAACAAGGGCCTTTTGAGTGTCTGCTTTGTTGGGAGGGGGACGGGGGACTCAAAACGAGACAATGATGCGTTTGTGTAGCGTCTGTCGTAAGCTTCTGGTGCATTGTGCATATAACACATGACGCCCCGTCTATCCGTCGAGTTGTTTTAAGGGTGGTATGCGTATGACGAGCCCCAGAGCAAACAACTGACTGCTTGCCATGCACTTATTTTATTTCTGAAATAAGAACTGGAAAACATTGGCGAACTTCAAGCTTTGCTGATATTCTTGGTATGCGTAAGTTAGACGGGGGATAGGGAGAAGGAACATGTCGTAAACATACCTGGAGTAGGAAATGGAAACTTGTCTCACATCTAGGTGGTTGAGAGCTCCAAAAAAAAGCTGACATTTTTCAGTTTCCATGAAATTCGGGCATGTAATTCTGTTAGATAACAGACTTTTAAGCCGTTTAAAGTGCGGGAACTTCAGACATTCAGAACATTGTACTCCTCATCATCGATCAAAAGACTACTAGAGAATTTGAAGGTGATGTTATATATGTAGACTTTTCACGGCAGCTGTCACTATATCGTGATGTCAGCTCAGCGATACCATTCAAGCCGTCGCTACCAGAAACACTAACAAGGACTAACACCAACAGACTGCATCATAGTGTAACAGTGTAAACTTCTAGACGTCGTTAATAACAATAATAGTTAATCCTGCAGTCTCACAATAAAAACATAATGGTAGATTATGTTGTTGTTAAAATGTGAAACGATTATTATGTATTTTAATATTTTACTAAGAAATAATTTACTAGAAAGTGAATTACGCTTTTAGTATCCTCATTATATATTATACTATTATATAATGTATATACACTATTATATAATATGAGCATTGACACGTAAACATTCAAGGTCCTGCACAGTTTGCACAACAAAACCTCATAAAATGAGGCTAGGTTTAGCAACATAGGATACTTGTACACAAACATATAGCGTTAATTTTTATGCCTGGTGGATTCATAATGGACAGGGTGAAATATTAAATAATAAATTTGTGTGCAGAATTATATCACCTATGCGTTCTCTCAGTACTGATTTTGTCGTTAAGGTTGCACGAGCTGTCCGTACAACTAAAGATTAACGTTGAAAGGCGCTTCTTCATAAGCCTGGTTAATACAGTATCGTGTCATGAAAAGTAGAGTCAGAAGAAGAATAACCTCAAAGACACGTCAACGTTGTCGATAAAGTCGCAAACCTCCTGAAAATAATTAGAAACATAGAAATTATGCATGAAACCGGAAAAATGATCAGTTACAATATTTCGATAAACCACGGACCTACACAGGTCAGTACAAATATCAGACGGCGCAATTACCTATTCATTCAAACTGATGCCACTCCGGGCCCGTTGGGAAAGCGTGTCAGGATAGGTGTATGTCACGTTTGTTCCTACATTGTATTTAGAACGAAACTTTAATACCTTGCACCCATGCAATTAGCCATTTGTTGTTTGTTTGTTTGATGTTTATAGTAGAAAACAGAAACCCTTAAGTGGGTTCCCGTGCTGCTCTTTAGATCTCGACCAAACACGACGCTAACGCACAAACTCACAGCGGATAACCAATTCAGATAATACAAGTGAGATGCGTCAGACAAACTTATAGCCTGTTCTAATTAACCATATCTGAAAGCTTTGCATTGCTGTTATCAAAACTCAACTACAAAAGTAAAAAAGAAACCATCGTAGTTTATATGCATGTCAGCGTTCTACACGGTACAGCTTCTCGGTACCCCAGCTAGAAAAACATCATGGTATTCAATAATTAGCTAACTGTGGCCACTGCCTCATAGGATAAACACTTCATATAATTAGACCAATATACGTTATTTATTAGGCAAATGAGTCCAAGTTGTCTAGGACCTCTTAACTGACGGCATCTCGTCTTGCAGTGCTTAGTCTCCTAATCAAAAACTCATTGTTCTTTCACTCCAACGCGGTATGCTACTTCTCAACAGGCGCACCATGCCATTTTTCTTGCGCTGTCAAGCTTTGTAACAACGAAGGTGAGCGATTTTAGGCTCCAGGCCACTTCAAATAGCAGCATTAACACATTACGATGTGTAGCCGTTACCTGTAGAAATGTAAGTGGTCGTAAATGCACTGCAGGGGTATCACCGTAACTGGGATGAAGTGCTGTGAGCAAACAAAACACTTGACAATTGGATACGTTTTTTATGGCAAAGGCAAATTGAGCTGCACATGGAAAATGTGTATGTATATTTCATGTAATCCTATGGACTATCAAATTCCACTTCGAGCCAAAGCAACGTTGGTTCGCATATAGAACCAGCGAACGTGATCTTAATTAATTTATCTGTAGAAGCTAAGAAGACTTTCCGTTCCAGGTACTAACGTTTGATCCCAACGATCAACCCTCACCAAGATATTATTGATGAATAGAGCTGAATATAAATGGGATAAACTCTCTGAAGACTATACTAATTTTTTAGATTAAGTAAATGCTAGCTCATTATCGCAATGTATAGTAGTTTGCTAGTATAGTAATTTGAATGTCAATTTTTCACGCGAACGCGTATTTTTTTTCTAATTGCTATCTTTTCGAGCCTGTCTATTCGTTGCGGTAATGGATTAAAAGATAAAGCAACACTCAAAACATCATGGATCTTGAAAGTGCACTCACTTACTAGCTTACAACATGGATAATATAAATTTCGACGGGACCATGGCTGCTTGCAGATCCGCTGATATGAATGGATAGCTTGCTTTGCTTTGTGACGCTTAGCGTGAAGGCGATCCAATCCTGCTAATGTTTGAAGAGAGCTAGGAAATCCTCGATGCGACAGTATGTACAAGCTGATTTTTTTAATTCTTATGCGTCGTTGTAGGCCTTGAGTTCCCGTTCTTTTCTCTTATTACGTTCTTCTCCATGGCCTCAAACCGTTCATAGGACAACTTTACCGCCGCTATCAGGCACAACGGGTATCTAATGGGTTTCCAGCCAAACGTTGAAGCTCAGTGACCTCGAATCGCTGTACAAAGGACTGCTATCACAACATCGCGAGCGAAAGGCTGATGACGAAGGAAACGGAAATGCAGATTGAGGAAATGCATACAGCAGTATTGAAAGGAACAGTACCATTACCACGGAAGAAGTCTACCGACCGAACCAGTTGTCGTTTTCTCAATGAACTATCTTTTTCGAATGGAAACTTCGTCTCAATACTGAAAAGTGTGCCGACACCGAGCGCGACGGGCACGCAAATGCGGTATAAGAGAAGAACGATAGAGAGAGAGAGAGAGATGGAGGTGTCAATAGAGTGCACCGTTGCAGGGACGATTTTCAAACAGTTATACAAAGAATGCGCGTGGTGGTGGTGAACGTGATCTATGGTGATTCGATGGGCGGACGGGGGTCGGTAAGTCGTTCCTGCTTCCGGTTCTCTTTGGTAAGGCCAGAGCCCTTTGCCCCAGGAGACAGCCGAGATAAGATTGGAATAAGTAAATAAGTCGAGTTTTTCCGAGAAGTGGGGCTACAGAAAGGCGGATAAAACGACATACGTTGTTTATAGTAACAAAAGGTACACATGGTAGGTAGGATAGCAAAGCGTGTGCGAATATTCAAAATTAAACATTATTTGACGGGCTACGTCACATGTTGAGGGCATGGCTTACGGCAACGACCGCCTGACCCTTTAAAACTAACTTTTTTGTGATAAAAGACACTAGAAGAAGGGACGTTTCAAGACGGGATGTCAATTCTCTAAAAGGTAATAGAGTTTGAAAGGACAAACGTTTTTCCAATGAGTTCTTTTCTGCCGCTAAATGTCAAAATGTACGGCATGAAGGATAGGCGAATAAGTAATTGCATAATGTATATTGCTTTATTAAACAGAGAAAATTCATAGGTGCCTAATACCCGTCGTATGTGGGTAAATAAAATTAAGCAGTAGTACTATATTAAACTAATTGTAAAATTAATCAAGCTTGATTTGTTTTGCTCTTGAAGTGAAATTATTCAAAAGCTTCCCGTTTTGATCGGAAGCTTTTGTTAGTGTCTGCGTCAAGCTAAAACCTCACTCTTTCCCTTCTAAATCATCCAAAACGCCAATAAGATTAGACACAAGACGAAAAGAAGTCGCTTATGGTATGTTTTGTTGCAGCCATTTTCCCCAAAGATTTTTGCAACCAGATCTGCAAAACGTCAAAGAAGGGCTTAGTTTGTGAACAGCACTCATTTAAAAACAGTGAAATACGAACTTGAGAGATATGACAATAGAGCCAATCGGACATCATGCTCATTAGGGTTATGGAAAAATCCGGAATTTTGTGCCACGTAGGAACGCACAACAGCATCAGTGGATTAGCTTTATGTTCTACCTATCTGAACTTGATAATAATAACTTCAAAAACGTCTCTGCAAATATGCGTAATCCTCATGTACTTTCGTCGGTATCAGGCAGCTCATCGGTTACTTCTGATACCGCATATGATATTACCGGGAAGCACAATTAAAATCACTACTTTCTAAATTTGAGCAGTACACTCAAGTCCATCGAAAAGAAAATATGCTACAATACGCCATTATGCTGGAGATTTAGTTAATTTATTTAAAAGAAGCGGGATACTAGCTTAGATAGTTGAGGATTCGAACAAACTTCCACAACTATCTTTATGAACCTATTCCAAGTTGGATATGAAGAACAGTAAGCGTCCAATAATATTTGGCGCTTTCAAAGGTGTCTTTTTGAAAATGTTCTCTTCCTTTTTGTTCAGTGAAAATTATATATATATATATATGGTGACTTCCGCTTCAATGAGTAAATGACAACGAGACATAGGAGTGTGTCCCATAAGACGTCAACGTTTAGTTAAAATCCCAGCGGCGACTGAAATTGAAATCCAGAAAATTTGATACGTTCTATATTACGTGAATTATTTTGTGTCCCTTATTTCAGAATAAGTGTCACTATCAAAACATATACTTAGAAAAACAACAAAGGAAATGCGTAACTCTTTTTAATTAAGCTTTGATATATGCTCCAGAGGGTTTCGTAACTTTACGATCACCCTAGATAGATCATTATAATATAACACATTAGCTTCATCAGAGACCGCTATGGAGCAAGCCAAAAATTTCGTTCGGACTTTTTTACTTTAATCTTGAGAGAACTTTTCCATTAAAAATATAGCAATCGATCTAATCTAAGTTATGTGAACTTACGAGGTCCGCACGTGCTGTCAATGTTCGACTTGTATTCCGCCGTTGTGAAATGTCTCCTCCGTACGAGACCTACCACAGCGGGTACCGTGTTTGTTCGCTTCAGTTAGAGAGAGACACGTATTAGTTTAGGCTTGAATTCGAGCATAAACATACTTCATTCCCTGCAAGAAACCGGCCATTTGAGGTAATGCCTAAAAGCTTAAGTAGCAAACAAACGACATGAAAACGTTTTAGATAACGTCGAGTTTTAAGTAGTTACACAATTATTTTCTAGGCCGAATAACTAGAATGAGACTGCGTATGATTAGACCACGTTACTACAACAGGATCTATATATCGTACATCAGAACGAACATGGTCATCTCATTCTTTATTCCCGCTTCTAAATAATTCTTTCACTTTAAGAAAAATGCCATTTTTTTCTGTCCTGAATGGTAGGTTAATCCAGTTACGTTAAGAATTTTTGATGTTTTGTTTTATTGTAAAAATCATCTTTTGCAAATGTCCACGATGCCGGACTGCCTTCATCTACCACTTGATTCCGAACACGAAGTAACTCGTAATGGTATAAACATTCATGACTTTACAGAATCGAAGATTTTCCTAGGTCTTCGCCATGAATGGCGCTAAGACTCTAATCGACTGCGTCGATCATGCTAGCCTAAATTCTCATAATATCGTTAGCCGTACGAGACCTATCATAGAATCCTTCCGGAGCATTGCTTGATGCCAACGCAAAACATCTACACCCAACGTGCCCATGTACGCTGTTACATAATAAGCGGTTGGATATATAGGCAGTCAGTTCGGCGGTAACTTAACTGATCTGACATTTCCATAAAGTGTATTTCAGCCAACTTAAAGCGCTAATAACAATAAGCACGTCTACTTTTGAGAATTCCGAACTGGCCAAAATTTGGCTTCCTTAGCCGTCCTCTAGCCGTCTGTATATTTATTTAATTTCGCTTCTCACAACTAAGCTATATTCAATTTATATACAATCGTTTTATTTAATACGACTGCATCCATCTACGGTTGTGAGATATTAAGCCGAATAAACCGCGCAAAACCTTACAAAGAGCTTCGCACTAATTCAGTATAACAATGCCGTACCTTAGCCGGCTATGCACAAATGTACTAAAACCAAAATTCATTGAAATTAATTTAGAGACACGTGCCTACAAGCACACATAGCTCTTCGATATCGGGTACTGCGAAACATAAATGTGCATCAGGTAGTGGGCTAGATATATTTACTGCGCACGCGCAAAAAACGGACTAGAGCACACAGCCGACATATATTATACGCTATTCGAACGTAACCGCCTACCTTAAATAAAAGCCATTCTCGCTGGTCGGGTTTCTGTACTTAGGTTTCGACCATATTATACTGAGATGCATCATAATGATAATCGACCATAGTATGGGGTAGTAAAATCTAGCGTCATCTATTGTGATACTTCTTACGCTTGCGATTCGCGTTACTTTAACGAAGCAGAAGGAAATACGCTCGTCGCAATTTATATTCGAAACTTGTCGAAGGTGACGACAAAGGAAAGCGAGAAGGACTGCGAAGCAATAAACATGGGCGTATTACTATCTGTAAACAAACCACAGTAACGAGCAATACTAAAATAGACACCTGCCAGACCGAAAGCGGGCGAATCGAGCTGGAGTAAGCTTCGACAGCTTTTTGTCGAAAAACGGCATGATTTATTGAGTGCCGATTTCAGTCCTTATACTTATTTCGGCCCGCCAAGTTTCAAATATGTTGTGTCATCCATCCGCCTATTTATTTGTTCCGAATAACCCGAGGATCAACCTATTTTCTACTATAGAGCCGCATTATTTAGATGGATGACCATAATGGTACTTTGCTAAATTTATGGGATTCATATTGTGCTGGTATTCACTGTTGAAGTAACTATCTCAGATCTATCTTCCGTGGAATACTCGTCGTCAAGGGCTAAAATATAACATACGAAGAAGGTATCCCGCACGTAGTAGATTGCAATAAATAAGAGAAACAAACGGCAGTGGAAGACGTGTGACTTTTTTTTCAACTAGTAAACACAAAGAGGATTTGCCCTGAGATCACAAGCTATTGACTACAACAGGTTTAAAATGTGCGTTACATGCTAACTTTCAAATGTCACAGGAACAACTTTACCTACGATGCCCCTCTTACTGACGTTTGTCGACGTCAGTAGAACGTATCGATTAAACTGAAACGTATTAATGAGAACGTTCCTATTGGACCATTGACGCTTCGTTGGCTACAATTATACATGTTTGGTATAGACGACACGATGGCATAACGGCGCCGTCTCTACGATGACAGTGTGCCACAATAAACTACACAACTGCGTCCAATCGTTTAAACATTTTTCACACAGCGCCGCTATAAAGCGAACGACGCTGAATCGAGGCTAGACGAGAAACAACACGTACCACATAGTTCTATTTCGTATCAGCAGTACTAATGCTAATCGTTCCGGCGAAGGCGACGATGCAGTCGAAGGCGATCACGACAAAGTAGCGTAACGTAATGGAGCGTTTTTGCTACATCACAAGCAATCGCATTGTCTTTGACTAGCCCAGACATCGTTTTATCGGGATAGTCATCCAGTGGCGGGCAGCCGACCAAACCAGCGACCCAGTTCAGCGTGCTAGCGCAAGCGACGATGTGAATGAATATTGCAAAAAAAGCAAGACTTCCGTGATGCTTCTTGTTCCGATACACGGGGCCTAATTGCGAAGCTACCTTCGTGTGCAAATAATTGAAAGACCAACGATATTTCGTTCCCTAGTCGGCGAGCGGATAACGACGTCACAGCGACTATCGCCGCCGATGCCGCTACGGTCAATGAAAAGCGATAAAAGAGGGTAAACGTACGGCCTTCGCACAACTATAACATCAGTGGTCCTAACAATGGCTGCAGCAACACGGGTGGCTGAAGGATCGAGAGAAGGTGAGAAGAAAGGGTGGGAAGAAAGACCAGGTTAGGACGACAAAGCACCGCGACCAGCACTCTTGCGCATATAAGCCAGCAGGGCGCGGGAATTGCTTCGTTGGCAAACAAAAAGGAACTACGTAGCGTATCTTCGAAATGAGAGAGCAGAAACAATGTACTAGACCTTACACAGTCAATGCTGCTGCCACACGGCGGCAGTCCATTCTCATTCATGTCTGCTGGTGCTATTCGAGTCGCGGCTGCTCCTGTTTTGTTAAGTGGAGAACTATCTCGTCCGCCCCACCGTCGCCGGTGGATTGTGGCGGGCACTGGCGACAGTGTCGGCCTCCAAGCGGACCCTACTGGAAGAAAATGCCTGAAAGAGGTTTGTGTTGGTACAATATGTACGAACGCTTGACGTAACCGTCAAATGGCCTGCTCTCACTTTTATCGAAACCGTTCCTGCCCTTGATGCAGCTGTATGATGCAGTTTAAAGTCATCACTCGTTAGCTGTTCCCGTCTCGGCTTCGGAGGCCAGTCGAAAAGAAATGGGTCAAAAAAACGAGGCAAGGAAGAATATAACTATAGAACGATTGTAAGAGTTCCAATTCGACTAATCTCATTATGAGGCGTTCTCATAACTTGAAGAGAACGGATGTCAAGTCCAAGCATTGTCATATAGAACTAAGCGCGAATGACCAGCCATTCGCACAGTGCGTAATTTGTGCGCAACGGAACGTGGTTTGATTTGGTGTATTTGATTTGGAACTTTTATTTAAATTCTAAAAATATGAATCGATCAATCGTAACAAACGTTCGGATGGTTATTTTGTGTCAGTCAATCATCGAACACATGGCCAGGAGTGCTCGAGCTTCTGTTCCAGTAAGGAGCGATGTCAACTTGAAGGGAACGACCATTTAGTGAAGGCGAGTAGTTTTCAAGAGGCCAGAGGAATAGTACGTGTAACAGGTATAAGCGATTCAAATCTTTACAATATCAAAATGTCGATTTGTTGTTCCCTTTTGTTTTACTAGGTAAACCGCCAGCCTTATAAGACGATCTATTATAGTTATAATCTCCAATGTATTCTGGAATTTTTTTTTCTTTTGCCTAAGCTGATATATGTTGCTTAGATATAGTCCGTATAACTCATCTCCTTCAGACCCGTGGGATCCACACGGCGCCGACGTTGAAGGATTTCCTTCGCAGCCAATAGTGATTCTTAAAAAACATTTTCTCACGATCAGCATCGCTTATATTGATGCAAGATAGGATTTCGCCTCGTGTCGTTTTTTTCCACATTCTCCTTGTTACGATAGGATTTAATAGCTCTATTCTAGCACTAATTTACCTTTAGAACATTTTAATGAATTGTTCTTCAGCATATTTATGCTTAAGAACAAATTGCGCTTGTAGAGTCTAAGGCTGACACGTCCAATGTAAAGATGTAGCTGTAAATAATGTATTATAAAAAGTCCATGTGTTTTGCCTAGCGTTAGGGCATTCTTATTTCGCCAAACTACCTTTTTTTTGTTGAAATAAACAAAGATGATAAATATCAACTACCTATATTATATGCGACTAAATGAAGACAGTTTTGCTGAGTGAGCCACCTTAAACAGCGGCATTTAATAGATAATAATAATAATAATAAACGCTATTTGCATAGCAGGCTGCAATGCTTTCTTGTCAATTAAACATGTCGCATGTAGACACACACTGATATTCCGTTTTTCTTCTTAAAAATCAGCTCGCGATTTCTAGCATCGATTGTGTTTAAAGCTAACTTACATGCAGTCATATAGGACAATCTTTTGAGGAGTTGAAAAATACACAGTATAAAGAAAAGGTTCTCTAAATCGATCCGCCGGTCCTTAAGCGGGCTACCGTAACATAGACAGGTTAAATGAAATGTTAGTCATTTATTTTACTGCAACCCAAGATATTAAAATAATTACTTGATTAATTCGTTTCTTTTAGGTGCGGTTGGCTTTCGGTCTGTTTGAGAAGAAATTGCTTCCGAATAGATAACAACTGGACTGCATCTTCATAACTCAAGCAATACAATGTAAAAAATATACACCTGGCTCAAGTTGATCCTAGTGAAATTTATCAATCCGAATAGCGGCAAACTTTAAACTAACATTACTCTCAATAAGGTTGATGGTCTTAATAAGTTTGCAGGTATTTATTTCCAAGGTTCTTTCAAAGGCAACAATGTTTCCTGTAAAGCGCCTCATACTTAGAGCAGGTTGAAACGAATTAGATACAATATCTCTGTATCCACACAACTTTTTGACGAAGCAAGGCTACTTGCAATTTCTGTTAAAACAAACAGAAAGTACAGCTGCACACTTTTAGGTATACTTCCCTGATTACCAATGTCAAAGTTTTCCTACACGTAGAATATAGTTGACATATCGGCAATTAGATTTTGTATGGTTACGCGAAAAGGCCACGGAGGTACGTAGGGTCGATAAAATATAGCTTGCCGTGCTGACTACTAGACATCCAGCAATTATAGAGGCAACATAGAAATACGTTATATTCGGCGCATGACGCCGAAACAGGTTCAGTCGAGGCATTTCTTTAAAGCATGCCCACGGAGCACAGACTACGAGGTCGTTCCATCCGTTGGAAAAGCGTTGGGCAACAAGTTGGAATTCATGTAGAATCACCGTTTTCGGTACGGAACGATGACTCGATTCGTCTGTGACATAAAACACTTTGAAAAGGTCACCACAGAAAGGTCACACCATTTATGCGCTGCACATGGAGGCGTGGAAGTTCACATGCGTCATCTTATCACTATTTCATTATTCGGTGCAATGATATGCTTTTCATGAAATTTTATCTTACTATAGATTGCACAGGCAAAATGAGCGTGCACTATTAAAGCGGTGTATTTACATCCCTGCACGTTGCACGTGTACCTTATACTAGAAAAACGTCCGGTAGCTTAGGTTAAACTAGCTGATATTTGCATTTTACCCCCGAAAGTAAAATAGTCAACGTGGATCAACATTCGCTATGAATGATATTGTCAGTGGCGTTGTCCCGAACATGTTTCCAGTGTACGTAGTACGTCGAGTACTATTACCAGGCTAAATAAGCAGAAGTTCGCACTCGCATATTTGTTCGGTTATTCCCTTCGTTCCACGCTGTCCAGAATATCCACACACAGATGAACTCTTATCTCAGCCTTCCTTTAATACCGATCATGATAAGCTAGCTGTCAGATAGCAAATGCTTATATGACACAGTGCCCCAGCGACACCCGCCCCGAAGCCTTTCCCCACCTCCCGCGATCGTGCCAGCCCCAATTACAATAATAATCAGTGTAACAATGTCTGCACGGCATGAAATAACAATACAGTTGAGAGATAGTTGAACTGCGCCCTTGTCGTACGGAACAATGTAACGTCAAGTGCATTGTAGACAGCACCCCCACAATTAGGTGAGCACAAGGTAAATGACAGAAGGCTATGGGAGCAGACGTTCGTGCGCTGTGGGAACGAACGCCTATTAACGTAGGCAGCATCTATACGACGGTAGTCTATCTAGAATACTAGAACGACGACATTGTGGTCAGTGACGAATAGCAGCCAGTAGAGCTCGGTCCACAATGTTTACATGTTGGTCGACTACATACAAATATACACACAGCCCTGACGCAGAAAGGATTCGATGAAGGCAGACAGGCATGCATAAAAGGAAAATTTGGGTAGCACAATTTCGCAGTTCGGTTACGTAAAGCTAGATTAGGATAGAGCAAGTCTCTGTGATAGTTTAGTAGGTAACGTATTTGCCTAATAACTCCTGGGACACGTTGTGATCTAGGTTCGAACCTAGAAACCTAGATGTTTCTGTCTGAGCTAATGTGGTTCACACAAAAACTTGCGCATAACAACAGTGCGTGAATCAAGGAATACAGGTTCAAAAAGCTGGAATGCGTCAAAACAATCGTTGTTCCACTCCTCGACCACACAATTTAGCAAAAGATGCCTTATCGTGCTATAACGTTTTAATTCCCATTGTTCAGGTCGAAAACGGATTTAAGTTGTATGTGATAGCAGCTGACTTTGAAGGCATACACCATCTAATGTGTCTCGTGGTTCAACCAAGCTATTCAAAGCAACATGCTGAATCCTAGATGAAATCGGTGGGTCGATTTGCCCTTTTCTATACTAATCTTCGTAGAAATTTTAAGTGCTTTAACGGGTCCCAGCTTTGGACCACGGATGCATTGCATAGAAAACCGGAATTCCTACTAAGCACTAAGATCTCAAATACAACCCGCGCCATATAGTTTTCGTGGCTACAGCTCTAATAGTTCATATCATAAATATACTTTCTATTATCTTGGCTATGGTTTTATTGCAGACAGTATTAGCTGGCACCCATTTTAGTGAGGCGCTAGAATTCACAATCGGTGACGACGAGGCCGTTGCATGAACTGCGGATGGCTTGGCCTTAGGCTTCCGCCTCGGTGCCTGTGATGACGGTGATCGGTGTGATGACTACTGAGAAATAAATGCAAACGTCTACTGGGAATGTATGCACCCATCTGTGGCAACTTCTCCCGATTTCCATAACTGCCGCCTCTGAGGTTCACCGTGAGGGGTCATTTGCATGCATAGGAGACCTGGCGCCTGCCCTAGTAACTGAAAGGTGGATGGACAAACGGCGCCCGGGCTTTGTTCTCCAGTTAGGCAGCTTGACGTATTTTCTTAGCTACCCCCTCGAAAAATGATTGAGACAAAGGCTACATTAGTTGAAGGGCCTTTAACTACAAAGGTTCAGCTCGTCCTCATTCGTTCTGTTGCTGCTAATCGAAACGCAGGATCTTTATAGGGTGGGACAATAGGGGCAATATAGTTAGAGCCGTAACACTCACCAATGAAGTTATAAATTTAAAAATAGCTTTTCTTCGGATGATACCTCCTAGCTTTTCATTTTGTTATGTAGCGCCTAGTAACATGAATATTTTTGTTTAGATCTCCGAACAATACGAAAAATAAATAAAAGAAACTTCTTTCCCTAAGCTTGTCCTAGCTCCGTGTCACCAATCGTATTGAGCTAAAACCTGATCGAGTTAATTAGCTAAAGGTAGAAGCATCTGTAATTGGACACACATTTGGAACAACTTTCATTACAAAAACCTAATGAGATACATAATGCTAGCCTATAAAGGTGCTAGATAAAGTCAATCTAGACGCCTGAGAGTGGTAGACGAAAATTAAGTCAAATCTACGTACATATATAAGATAAGAATCAACGTATGTCCTGATATTGACTAAGCCTGAGTCCCATATGATATTACATAATTAGCGTACAAAAGTAATCATCAGTAAAAAAAAAAAACATGGATTATAAATCTAGTTTTTCCGTCCTAATTCAGCTCGACTTCTCACACTATCGATGCCACGGAACCGCCTGCCGCTATAAAATAGTTCTCTTTACGTTTTTTTGCAACAATAAAAAATACGTATCGTAAAATTGTAGGGTTTGGGGTGTTGGCCCGCTTTTCCTCTCACCAAGTTTTCCCTTCCAACCTCCAATGTTTGCGTATCTAAATTTAACTCAGATCTTATGTTATCTCTGGCTAAATATCCTTTATATATTCTTAAGGGGATCCAAGAGCTATTATTTTTAAGTGGCGGTCTTGATGAGATACGCGCCTTATTACAGGCAACGTACCTACTGCTTGTGCAGGAAGAGCGTTTTTATGGAATTAGATGGATAAGCGAGAACGCAAAATGCATAACCTTATACATTTATAAATGTGGGCGTTTGCGTCTAGCCGTCTACATACGAACATGTCAGACCGAAAATTTAAAAAAAAAAGACCAAGAGCCGAATCACATCACCGCAGCTTACGTTGCATATATATATATATATAGCGAGAGAAACATAGATATCGCAATCTAAGGTCTCTATGATTTTTCGTAGCTTTCAAGATTGTTCCGGCCCTTTTCCACAGAAAAGTTACTTGTAAATGATTCACTAGATCTTATCGATATTGTCGCAATGTTACAGTCCAGTCTTGTCCAACCTAGATTCTTGCTTCTGTCGAATGACATATGTGTAATATTCCATATATATATATATATACACTTTGTTAGTATTATTTACCGAGCGAAAAAGGTCAATGACATTAACTATAAGTAACGGTATTATTACATTTATTAGAATAAGCATCCATAGTTATAAAAATTGGACGTTCGATTTTTGGAGCTCGTATGTGCAACCAACATTTTACTGAGAGTATGTCTATATATTATACCTAAGACAAAAAACACAATACATCTATAATCCTTTTTTTTCAGTTGTAATATTATTTTGTCTAATGGCGGCCTGCAACCGTGTGCGTGTCCGCCATTTTGTATTGGCTAAGAACCTCATGATCGCATTACAATGACCCGACATTCAATAATCGTACGTTTTCATACCGCAGTAGCTAGAGCGCTTCTCAATCGCACGCGGCGTGCAGCTGTTTTTGAATTGATGCGCATCTAAATACGCTAACGAAATCTATTATTAAGTTGTTCTTCGAATTGGTCCGGAAAAGTTAAACGAGACAGGCATGGACTGTATCGCCTGATGTTTGCAACGAATTCAAGTAATTCCACGATGAGGACGCTCTGTACATTCTGAACAAGCCACAGGTTCGTGGCTTGGCATATTCATCGATGCGGCACGCGTCTGTATGTATTCCACAAGCTACATCCTCCTCCGCCATGTCTCAGCATGTAGCTTTTCACGGAAAGCATCAGCAGAATTAAGATCCTGAGGAACATCTACATTATACAGATACGACTTCGTTCATTATATAACTATAAAATAAAATTTCTATCCCACTGCCCTTTCAGTGCTCAATTGGGCAGTCTTTAGCTACACTTATTGTACTAACGTTTGTACAAATAAATTTTTATTTAATTTATTCCTCCGCTTATGAAAGCTGCTGTTTATTATATGTGGTTGCTCTTGGCACCTCTTGCTATTCGTAATTATGATCACTAGTGATTGACATTGATTAAATCATAAGCGAACATAATTATCGACACCTTCGAGCATTTAAAATGTGCCTTAGTTCGTCGTTGGCCCAGGCTAGTCGACGTAATAGGGTTAGAGCTTTGACTATCCTGAGGGATTCGAATTTATTCAGGAGATCTTTATGCAGATTACGAGGCAGATCCACACTCCTCGGCTTTTTCGTTGGCCTATCGATAAAGCTTCTCCCCAAAGCCAGGCCTCGGAAGTCACTCTACTCGTGTAAGGGACTGCTTAACGTGAGCAACAGAAGTTTTTCAAAGCGTACTGATAACGACTACTGGTATTCATCGGCGTCCAATCTCAGCCCCTTCGAAGAGATAACGTGGCGGACCCGCCGAAAAGTTCAGCTGTTTGCTGTAGCCGTACGAGCGTACTAAACATGTATGGTTATTTAGATATTGAGTACTGCGGATCAGTTAAGTTAAACGAACACAACTTATTGTTTAAAACTGTTATATAACCGTTTGACTAAAGTTATTTCGAACGGAGAATATATAAACAAACTACGGAAGCTCGAAACGAATCATCCTGGACTTTCATCACTTATTGCAATCATCACTTATTGTAACAATCCTAACGAAATAATTTCTATGTAACGTATTATTATTGTATTCTAATAAACATCATAATTGCATTATAGTTAACGATCGACTGCTGGATATATATTGCTCACGTTTGTGATTTTTTTTTTATCTTTTACCGAAAAAAAGGTCAGGCCTCTGGCTTTTGATCTCTTGAGAACTGTGGAGGAGGTCAGAATCACGTAGCGCAGCTATTAGCATTCCAGTGTTGCTTAAATTATACCTTTCCTTCCTTATTTTGCCCCGGCTTGCGAGAAGAATCAAAAATAGCATATTTCTTTTTCTATTGCAAACTTGAATTAGTGGGCCTCCGCTGAGTTTCGGTCAGGCGGGATTGCCAGTATTTGTGCAACGGTGCGGGGGAACGATGAGAATGTTTAGATCGACCGAAACAGCCGAAATCAAAAGGAGTGGGAGTCGACTTGCTAACCACGACCAGAGATTAGGATAGCACTGGCAGCGCTGTCCGCCCGCCCTGGCCAAAGAGCGTGTGCTGGCTGGCTGACTGACTTTTCTAGTCCCTTCGCTTTGAGTATGTTGTTCCGCACGCTATCTGGAACAGCGAAGAGAAACCAAAAGGAACGTCTCATCTGTCTTCAGCTGTTTTTGGCTGCAAACCGAGTACTCAGATGGAGTAATTTATTGTGACAGGAAAGACACGCCGTAATGATATGACTCTGCATCGAGCGGCAAAGCATAAGGGAAGTTATCCCTACCTTGATTATATCCCTGTTTTTTCATCTGTGTTTTCGGGGATGTGGAACTTGAAAACCGAGGAGTCATACATATCCGTGAGAGAGGGATACAAAACGGTGTCTGGGGTGAAATTGACTCGTTTGCACGAAGCGTCTCTATTTTTTATACGATGCGCTGACGAAGCTATAGAGCGAACTTACGTATATGATATACCGTTCACACATTGCGCCAATGTGCAATTATAGCTATGGGCTGAGAGAGTTAGTACAACAGAGGTTTCCATTGATTTTCTGGCCTTTGACCTAGCTTGTGCTCTCAGCTAGATTTTAGAAATGAATGTAAAGTTACTCGGCTTGCTCCGTTTATGATCGTACGCGGTGCTGTTCGATTTGGGAAGGACTGTCAATAAGTGTTCCTCGATTCAGCAATAACACACACGTTCAGTGGCATACACGTGAATCGCGGTGTTGCTAAGTGCTTAATCTGCAAATAGCGATGCTTTTAAAATTGTAATTCATTGAATATTAGTTAATTGACCGCTGCGTGCAGCATGAAACCATAGGGCATTACACATACATGCACATGTGCCATGGACGTATTTATAATATACAGTCGGATGAGCGAAATTGGTTCTTTACGTCGCGTTTGTCGAACAAATAGAAATTATAACGGTCGTTCGTTTCCAGATATTACGTATGGACAATCGAAATTTGTTTACAGTATACGCTTGAAGCGAAGAGGCTGTTATCGGAAAAAACCAAGCCCGAACATCGACACAGAGGAGCACCTGCCTGTCTAGTGCCAATGGTCGCATACGCTTTTCATTTTTTTGCGTGTTTTCTATTTTCTGGCCCAATCTGTTGAATGAGTCGGCTTAGATTTGGAATTCCACTGTATTCCGTTCCTACCTTTCTGGACGCATTTCCTGAACACAAATATCCGGCCGTCCTCCACCTTGTCCCTGCAACCCCTTAGAAAGAACAAATAGAACGGCGCCAGCGAGCTGGTTAAGGCAGCAGATAAACGTGACCGTACGCACTGTTTTTTACTGTTTTTTTATGCACGCCGAAAGGCATCTAGGTTACCGTATTTGAGCTCATTCGCATATTCAGCTTAACTCACCGGCATTATTACCATTCCGAGAGTAGAATCGTGCGCGAATGGCGCCGGATGTATGAATGAAGGAAAATCATACCCTCCAAGAAACCAAAAGGCCAAACAAACCCGCAGTCTCCATGAAAGCTACTAAGGAAAGATATAATCTCCACTTGGGCAACTATATCCTTCAAGCATGCGTAGATACGCTCGTAAGGACATGCATCAACGCTGCCACATTTATAGAGGCATCTAGAATTGCTTCCTGTGCACGCGTACCTCTTGATAAATGCTCGTAAATATGGAATTACGATTAAACCTTTAACTTCCCTATAGGTAATACTAAGCACATGTATTCAACGAAACACTCTGTGATTTGTTAGGAGAGGTATGATATGTACGCAACTGCGGCGCAGGCGCGCTGTGTCGGAAGTGTACGTGCACGAGAACATTTGTACACGTTTACGATGCCACGAATGTAAGTTTCATACAAAAATATAACTACTAATCTCTTTGTCGAGAACGAATTTGTTGAAAATGATCCGCACAGTTTCCTGCTTAAAGGGCAATATCGACTCGATATCAATTTTTGCAGTTATGGTTTATTGAGCGTATCAAGTAAATTACTAAATCTCTAGAGAACGGAAACTTTTGTGTGTTTTTCAAGGAAAACAGAAATTAATTTCCCACATATTGCCCATTCCTCTGGACAAGATAGTAAATGTCAATATCTCTGATAACATTTATAGTGTAGCAAAACGCTGGCTATCTAAATAGCAGAATTTCTTCAACGATCGCGTGCATTTTTACGTGCGTATTTTCAGTTGAAAGCGGAGCAAAGATGACTAATTGGGTTAACAGACGCAATTAAGATGCTAAAGTTATTGCTGTTAAGTGTTTGTAACATTGCTGACAGCATGATAACAACTAGAAAATGATGGAACCCAAAAATAGCATGGCAGAGCTTGCAGCAAACATAAATAATAATGTCAAAATCAACCGTCTCAACCACTTCCACTTACTATGAAAGAGCTGGAACTTGAGAGGTGCTTTACCAAAAAATCGGCTTATACATACTTAACAACGGATTTAGCGGGCCACACGTTATTAAGATGCAAGAGCTAATTTGTCACTAGAACGACTCGTTACTAGCGACAATAGACGGACACGAAACCGCTTGCTCCATCTAATAGGAAAAAGGAAAGAATTAACCCACACAAAAAGAGCATATACCTATATATATATATATATATATATATATATATATATATTTTTTTTTTTTTTTTAATAAAATAGCCGTTGAAGAAGCCAACACTAGAGCTTCTATGAGCCACAGTTGTCTGCTTCGTTTTGTAGATTGTACGGAAGCCTCTTGACAGCTCGTTTTCACAGGCGGCTTTGTTTCGCCAATTAGTACAACCACAGAGACACCCAGCACAGGCCTAGGCCTCGAATCACCAGTACATAGTGGGCAAACGGAAGCCCACGCTATACGACCCAAAAAGGTGAGTGTTTTTTCCTTGTTGTGTGGCCTTCATCCATACCAACCTTCTTCATTCACACCAGACTCCTACTTACTTTTTTGTAAAAGCCAAGCCCTGTTGGCTGCTAGGGTGCTTGCCGTTGAGGGTCCGACAGCGACATTCCCTGCAACCCAGTGGAGTGCATCGACGACTGCTGCTATGCAACGATAACGCTAACCCATGACTTACCGTCAGCATTTCTAAGTGAGGAGGAACGGATACCGGATGAGTGCATTGGTGGCTCGTTCCGCCTACTCGATCGCCGGAATTGCCGTAGATCGAACAGCATCAGATAGATTAAGGTCATTAAGGTCAAACTTGTCGTTAACTGAGCTACGAACCCTTACGTCGCCCTTGAAGGCGTGCGGAGTTTATGCTAGTGTGCACACGGGTACGGTAGCTGCCTTTTGAAGGTAGACGGATGAGTGTCTGATGACTCGCACACTGCTTTGGTAACCATTTTAGAAACTAGCCACTATTTAAGTAAAAGCGATCATGTTGATTGTCGTGGTACAATAAGGCAAGAGCGAACCGCAGAAAGGGGGTTAGACGAAAACGGGCGCAGGGTCACTACCGTGTTTCCCGAAGATGTTACACCTAACGCAGCAAACTATCTATAAGGAAAAAAGCTAAATGAAAAATAATACTATAGGCACTGCCGTTTAATTCATAGCCCAGTGTACAAAGTACCAAACTAAGCAGCTAAAATTTACATAACATAGTAGATCATGTATAATTGCGAATGGCTTGGGCTGATTTAATTTTCAAAGGAAATGAAGATATATTAGAACAAGATCATTAACAACTTAACGCATAAATGCCATTTATTAAGACAACAATGCGATAAAGTTTTTTTATTTAATATATATTTGTATATATATATATATATATAGGACGTTTCTAACCGGCGATAAGGAGTAAAATAGATTATATCTAAGAATTATATAACTTACATAACCAACAACCAATTATATAACAACCATGTGACTTTAAGTGACATGAACACAGTTTATGGAACTCGGTTATAATACCTAACATAAGAAATATATTTTACCAAATTCACTCTGCTAGAAAAGCACATTTTCCAGCGAAGTAAACAGGTAATCTGCCATGACCATGAAATGTTCCGATAACCTGATCTTTTTGGAATCACCCGTGTCTTTAGTATAGTTAAGTAATCAAAATATGTAGCAGAAGAAATGCGACTTTTTTTTCGTCATATGCATTAAAAAAGTAATGAACCATGAGTGAACGAAGAACGGACGAAACAATCATTTCAAGAAAAAGACGAGTACCATGTGTGCCTGCGCGGCCTGAGTGCAATAGAATCACTTCCAGAAAGATTGGAAGCAGAAGGTATGTGCGTTTCAAGAAGACTCTGCATTGACAATTGCAGCGGGAGCGACAGTGACGAAAAAATAGACGCATCTCATTTGTGTCGATGTGGATACTTTCATCATGGTGAGTTCAGGGTGTGAGAATGCCCAAGGACGATTTCTATGCGACTTACAGTAAAGCGGGCCAAGTGGCTTCGAACATGTTCGCATCGCCACTCGTGCCCCGCTCTCTGAGTTTTTTTTCTGTTCTCAATTCGTTCGTGCTTCAATTGCAACGTATACAGAACGTAATTGCCATATCCTT